TCCCCCCCCCCCCTTCCCCGTCTGCCATCCACTTTTTCTTCTCACCCCTTTCATCAACTGATCCGGAGAGAATTAATGGACACATAGATAAACAAGGTTCTTCACAACGCGTTTTGCAAAATTATCCAAACGTGTCATTGCAAATTAAATTTCTGCGCGGCGATAAAGTGAAAATGAAAGAGAGGCGTTGCTGAAACGACTGAAAAACCGGAAAAACTGATAAAATTTACAAATAAATAAAATCGGCGTGAAAAGAAATGGGAAAGAAGAGGACCTGAGATGACAGATCGGATGCACGGATGCAATCTCGGACGAAAATAATTCACGGATCTGCATAGCCGCCATAACAGCATGATTGAGCGATGTGTCATCTTGTCGGTCCTGGAGCAACAACGAGTAGCTGTCCTCCGGGACATCTTCTGGCCGATAAAACCGCGTCACTTTTACAGACATCTGATCCCGTTTTGTCTGCAATTACAATCTTTCCCGTATCCACAGATAAGCCCTTATCGTGTCTGATTTACTAGAAACTACTAATAAAGATCGCGAGAATACCTATCGGCGGTTAACACATATTACGGTTCCTCTGGGAGGGGTACCACATGGTGCAAAACTGCCTTCTTCGACTGAGGGGAAAAAATAAACACCAAAATTAAGAATAACTCTGCATCAATTTCCTAAAACTTGAGGTACCACGGTAAAACGGCGAAACTAACGCGCTGCGTATAAAAAAACTCGAAATATGGCTAAGAGGTGGTTACGCTTGCCTCAATGAACTGAGCGAATTCTCTCCCAGCCTCCTGCTAGTTCACCCTCATTACGAGTAACGGAAAAATGAATGCTGTAAGCTGATCAGTCCGATTAATTGTATAAAAGTGTGAGAAAGAGACAACACTGTCTGTCGCAAAAAGCAAGCACTTAACATAATCTTTAAAGATCTGCGACTCAACGCACATTGTGAAGACCAGGTCTGTGTGTATATGTCTTTGTGTGCAAGTGTGTATGTCCTTGTATTTTGTCCCCAGTTTCAGCTCAGCAACCACAGAAGCTAGTAAAACGAAACGTCTGTAGCACTTCCCTACCCTATCTTATCATTCAGGTATGCTTAGGTTTCACACACGGATGCCTAGATAAAAAATGCTAATTTTTTGGCGGGGAAGCATTATCGTAAAACAGATGAGATTCCAAATGGATTTTTCAGATTCAGCTTCAACACGCGCCAACGACACGTGCACAAACACAGCAAAAGTCAAGACTTCGATTACGCTCGCAAAATGTTAATTCTGGAATTAAGCTGATTAGAGCGCTCCAGCTTTACGAGAATATTTGTTTTTCCTTACACGGTCATGTAGCCGTAAAATGAGCTTTGACATTCGCCTGTGCCGCGTACTTGGATATTTCAAAGATATATTTGTAACGAAAAGCGACTTTTTAACCAGCCATGTTAGACGACTGAAACTTTAGTAGGATATTCTATGCTCATGTGAAACCGAAATATTTCGAATTCAGGTCATCTCACGCCTAAATTTCGCTTGCGCGCAAGTATATATTCCGTTCGGAGACTGATAGCAGCCAATGAACTCGGCAACCAGACTGAGCAAGCATGAAGCGGTGTTTTTCTGATTTTTTGCTATTATATGCAGGCCATCAGGTGTAAGATGACCTTTTGCCTTAAGCACGGACCTCTCATACAGGCGCATGAAATGTTCAAATTGCAGTACCGCAGTCACAGTAGAATAGGTTACAGAATGGAGTCATAGAAATGCGTACTATCGCACCGGCAAGACTAATACGTCCTATCTGGATTTGTATCACAATGTAAAATGCATTGCACGCAAATTATCTGATGATCTTCGGGCAGAATTTAACGTCCTGTCGCGCTCTCTGCTAGGACGGATGTGTCTCATATCACTCGCTTCTCACCGTTGTATTTCGAGAGTCACAAATGAAGTAACTACAGCGAGAATTCTGATGATTTCGACGCACTTACCGATCCTACAATCGCTGCAATTTACCCAATTTAAGCCCAGTTAACACCCCTTCTCGCCTACCAGACGAAGCTGTCGCAAAACCCAGTTAACACCCCTTCTCGCCTACCAGACGAAGCTGTCGCAAAACCGTAAGAGGTTCAGTTCACCGAATTTCACTCAGTCTTCCGTCCCCTGCCAACCCCTCACCCACCCTCGCTCCCCCTCCCCCCGAGGTCTCTCACCAGCTTCAAACGCAGCCTGCTTTGCTTTGTTCCATCTTCGAACCCTAATCAACAAATTCGAGTCCAGTACGGTAACAATGGCTAAACGCTGTTCAAAAAGACCAATGCAGAAAATTAGCAACTAATTGCAACGATGGGAAAATCATAAACAGAAAGGCCTGAAAACTGAGATGCTCGAGAGAGACAAAGAAAAAGATAAGAACGACAGGAAAAAAAAGAAAGTGAACTTTCTAGTAACACTTTGAATGAGATATCAAAATTTCGCGCATCGCCAGAATTAACTGAGTTACAGGATTATTCTCGTAACTCGCATACAACCCACCAGCAAGTTTTTTAGCATGAATCTTTGAAATAATGAACCATTTTGAAGTTTGCGATGGTGCCGATATAGTAGGGTTCGCACTGTGACACCTCCAGGAAGACGTGGTCGCCCGGTCGGTACAGCACTCCGTCGTGCGCCTCGAAGCATTTGTAATCGTTGTCGCTCCGTGCTTTATACGCTTTGCCTCGCCTACTTTTGGTCGGATCGCCCTAAAACAACCTGCGTTCAGCAATGCGCTCTCCAATACATTAGTATTGCCTTCATTCTGTTGCTATTCACAAAATCATACTAGTTGCGGGTCCGACATCGACAAGATCTAAATCCTGACATTCGCCGATGGGCCGATACACCAACATGCCCAAGCAACAACTGTAGTTCTGACCAGCGTAAAACAGTCCAGTGGACAGCCTGAATGCTATTTATTGCGAAAACGACTACATCCCCTCGCGCACAGCTTTCAGTGACATCGCGGTGGCTGTCCAGGCGATCAGTACTTCTGCCCTACCGTATTTCTTCCACAAAAAAACTTTCTAAACCCGACAGGATGCCACAGAAAAAGTGAAATGCGCTGCGGTAAACCGGCGTGACAGAATCACAGTTTGTGATACGGCCAGATGCTATGGTTTATGTACACCGCCTTAAATAAAAAGATGCAGTCACGCAATTTTTATGCGCTTGCCTGCCTCTTCAAAGCCACAGAGCAGTGAAGAGGAAGGGG